TTTATGCGGTAATCGAACCTAACATGAAAGCCAAGTATATATATCCCACTATGTCATATATCTACTAAAGTGAGCAAAACCGAAATCATATAATAGTATTTATTACCTTTCTATTTAAATGATCAAATCATTTTGCACGTCCCTAAATAATTGATGTAATAGGATTTCAAACCAGCACGTCCCTGACAGTCTGCATTACGATTTAGCTCACTGCCCATACAACTAACAGTTAACGGTATATAATTAGAACCTAACTTGTTGTCACCCCGCGATTTATAGCTTAGTTGAAGTCCCACGATAAGAGAGCGAGCCAAATATATACATTATACAGTGTGAAAGAGGGAGATGGAAAACAATACTAGGGTAACCATAGTGATTTAATAATAATAGGCAGTATACGAGAAAAAGCTGTAGATTTTTTTTTTTTTTTATATTATTTGGTACGTAATATATGTCTAAGTTAAAACGTGAAAACCGTGAAAACCGAAAAATGTGGTCACACTAAGATTTCCTATAAAGCGCTAATGATTAGAAACTAATATTCTACAATATTTATATCGTACTATGTATACCAGAAGTTAAATAAAAGCAAAACATGTCTTAATGTGATAAGATTATTGATATATTAAACGTTACAGTGTAATAAAAATTTTGAAAAAAATTAACACATGCCTTTAAAATTTAAATTAATTTTCCACTAGCATTATGGAAATCTAACATAAAATTTAAAACTGAATCAAAATCGTTAAAGCTATAGCCATATAAACATCAACACCAATTATATGCCATTTCGATAACGAAAACTGTGGGTATAATATTTTTATGTGATTGCTAAGCGCAATCGTCCTACATGAGTATCGGTTGGACCTGAACTAGCTAACGTTTATATAGAGTTGTACCTAACGGTGTAATCATGTGAGACAGGCGACACTTGTAAGTCTTATACTGTATTTTTACTATCAATCTATATGGCAAGGGTATGATGTGTATGAAACTGAGCTCTAAATTTTCTGTTTACGTATATTTTTAGTTTAATATATAATTTTTTTTATTTTATTTTTAAATTTTTAGTGTAGACGTAATAAGCAGGTAATTTGTAAGAAGAAAGTTTTTTAACAACATATTCGATTAACAGTTTATTTAAAAAATATATTTATTGTTGTTTTTTTAAAAATCCGCCTGGGAAGTATAAACCTATGAAAAAAATATCCAAATCGGTTCTGGCGTCTTCGAGTAATCGGTGAACATACATAAAAAAAAGATTCCGATGAATTGATAACCTCCTCCTTTTTGAAAGACGGTTAAAAATACAATAAAAATAACGTTTTTGAATAACCGTAATATATGGAACTCGTCAAAATGATTTAGTGGAGCCGAAACTCGAAGGTTTTACTATAGCCATGACTGACGTTTTGAAAATATTATATTATTATTGTATTGTATTTAAGTAGATTAAAATCGACATTACTTACATCGTTACTTAACAAGTTACAAGTAAAACTTTTGAAATTGTTTTCAGAAGCTTTCTTGTAAAATTACACATAAGCTTTTTTTTTCAAAAACGTTTCCGCAACCTCTTTTTTCAAAGCTATTTTAAATTTTCTCGATACACAGCATGAAAATTCAAAAATATATGCGCTGCGTTCATATTAAAGTAATATCCAATAAAATAAATAGTAGCTGATTCAATAATAATAATAAACTTTTATATAAGCACAATAAACAACGGATTGAATCCTCGATCGTCAATTAACATAAAATAAAGTGAATTTACAACAAACATTTCTTCAAGCAATGATTCACCAGATATCTGTGTAATTAAATTTCAAAATCTAAGCTTAAATTTAGTGCTCACTAATAAGACCCACGGTTATAAACTTATGGGACAAAATTTGAAATGCAAAACAAGACCATCTAAAGTGGGAAGGTATGTTCTCGTGTGGGGCGATACACACTTGTACGCTGTAAGTCGTTCATTAATCGATAAGATAAGCGAATAGTTTAATCATCAATATATTTGCCAATATCTATTAAATTTAAGTGTATAATATTCAAATAAATATATTACACTAGTGACTCACCCGCCCTACGCTCGGGTTCGTCCCTCGGTATGTTTTGACGGTTAGTATATATCTCATGAGATATTTTCTGGCAATAAAAAGTATTCGAAATGTTGACCCCGATAAACACCAATCAACATACCAAATTTCATCAAAATCTGTCCAGTGGTTTTCTCTCTGATGCGCATCACAGACAGACAGACAGACAAAAATTCTAAAAACTATAAATTCGTCCCCTGTATCGACAATAATTACTATTTCAATAAGATTTTCCAAAAATATTTAATTTAATTTTACTTTATTATATGTACATAGATGTCTAATTTTTGAAAACACACGATTTTTAAAATACTAACAATAAGACAACTTGACTGTACATGAAAAAAATTTCTTCTAATTCATACAATCCTTAAAGTAAAGCGTAAGTGAATTATAGGTAGGTATTTTTTAACTATATTTAAATAAGGGTAATGCAAGATTTTCTAAGAACTATTAGTCAAACAAAATATTATTTAATTAAATCAGTCCATATAATATATTATTGCTCCAGTCCTATATTTTAGAACTACGATTGCGTATGAATGTTACTAAATTGTATTGCAAAAGCGTATATCAGATGCATGCTTCGAAATACGGGCCGATGTCACGAGTGGGAGTGGTCTGAGTGGCCTCAATGAAAACTACCGTCTGAATTCCCAGGATTATCAAGGACGTACTGATTGATTTGATTTCAAAAATTACAATAATATTTATTATCATGAGAGCGGTATTCTAGATAGAGCGCGTCGCAGGTTCGATTTAGGTACAGATTTTTGGACGATTATTGCGGAAGGAAGTGTATCTATACTTAATATTATAAAGACGTAAAGTTGATGACTTTGTAAATTTGATTTTGTGACGTTATAGGGGATAATCTCTGGATCTACTAAACCGATTCAGATAAAATTTGGTAAGGAGATAGTTTTAGACCCTGAGAAGCACATAGGATACTTTTTATCCCGGAAATCATCCCTCAAAGAGTTGAAAATGGGGATGAAAGTTAGTATGGGAAATCAACCTAGTAGTAGCTAACTAGTACACAAAAACAAATGAATATTTTACTTATTTATTGACGTACTTGAGTATTAGGTGACTCACTTCGACATGATCGCGAACATTGTAAATATCCAACCCAACCGTCGATCAAAAAATTACTAGATACAGCATCAGCGACAAAAAATATCGTCATCGAATGAGCGCTCATTAGAACATTTGAGCGCGCTAATTAAAATAAAAACTTTTTAACAAAAAAATAAAAACCGACTTCAAACAAAAGCACTAAAAAGTAAAAAATAACTGATTGGTAGTTTTCATTTACTATACATACCTAATCAAATATTTTCGAAGTCGGTGTGCTTTGCTTTGTATGGGCTGGCACCGATTTCGAAAATATTTGATTAGGTATGTATTTAATAGGTAGGCTTTAATTACTTAGCCAAAGCACACCGACTTCGAAAATATTTGATTAGGTATGTATAGTAAATGAAAACTGCCAATCAGTTATTTTTTACTTTTTAGTGCTTTTGTTTGAAGTCGGTTTTTATTTTTTTGTTAAAAAGTTTTTATTTTTCCCTTTTTAGTGAAGACAGTAGTAGCAAAGTAAGAATTCTAACGTGTTAGGCTTGTCAAATCAAACAAAATAAGCCAAAACTCAAAGTATCTACTATTAGTCGTTGAAGAGTTCCACCTATCCACCTTCTGGCCTTGCCATCAGATCAGGTCAACAACACCGAACCACTGTACTATCAACGGAAATAGAAATACTTGCAAAGTTTCAAGTCAATATGACAATTAGAAGTAGGTTAAATTCATCATTAGTTGTTTTTCCACCCTTAGGGGTGGTACTTTTTTTTGAAATTTAAATGGGACCAATCTGGAAGTATACCCTTTCAAACAAAACAAAATTGTCCAAATCGGTTAATAAATGACGGAGTTCTGAGGTAACAAACATTAAAAAAAAAAAAAACATACAGTCGAATTGAGAACCTCCTCATTTTTGAAGTCGGTTGAAAAATGTGATAACAACTTCAAGCATTGTATTTAACGTTCAATCTACATTATTGTATATTTATTTCAACTAGCATAATTATTACCTAAACACAATTTGGTGACAGTTTTAAGAGAACTTTTGCAGAACGACCGTATTCCCCATTGCGGTCTAATGTATGTGGTATTTCACTGCTGCAGCAAAATGCTTTTTATATGAACTGAGAATATAACATCTTGAACACAACATATTACGTTATAATTAATTACTATTTTATTATTGTAAAATATTACCGTTTCATTTTGCAAATATTGTATACGGATATCACATATAAGCATAAAGCACTTGTTATAATATAAAATAAATACTAATAAATAATATAATATGGATGGCATTCAAGTTATACAAAAATGCAAAACATTTTAAAAGCTTCCTGAATGAGTACAGTGTTTATTATTTACTCGTCACTACACAGGCAAAAATATTTCTGGCTAGAATATAAGTTTTCTATTTCCACTCTGTAGTTTGGTAGGGGTAACTATGGAATTTTTATGGTCGTCTCTTATGGTGGTTCCATCCTCAGAAAAGCAGAGCCTAAATTTTGCTACAGTTTTAGATTATTGTAACCGAAGTTACTCGTACATGGTTAGGTGAAATTTTTGCACAATCAGATGTTAGAAACTGTTTAAAAATAGATAACAAATATTGAACCAAAAGGACAAAGAGATGTGTAAACGACAAAAGAGTAAGTAAAATATCGAAATATTTTATAGTAATAGCTATACTTTTGAACTGTTAATTTTATGTCAGTGTTGTAAGATCTTAAGGAAGTTAGCGTCGGCTAGGAAGATAATTTTGTTGGGAAAGGCTGACAAGAAAAGAGATATATTAGGTTTGCGTATATATCCACGTACCTTTAGTATCAATGCTAGTAGGTGAAGCCAGGCTTGGGATTTCTGGTTGCGGTGGCTGAACTCGAGGCCCGGGCCACGTAGTGATACCCCCGCAGAACCTCGGCCGCGCACTGCAGTCCGCCGCGTCCCGGAGAGTCGACGCGTCTGCGGAGTATTCTGGAATCAGATCACTTGGGTTTAGATTTGGAGATAATTTCGCGGTTTATCCCGCTTGGTATTGAAGTCTGCTGAATAATATAAATGTTAATATATTTGTTAGTCTGTCCGTTGATGCAGCAACACAGCAACCTGAATACAGATAGTTTATGGGTTGAAGAGTGATATAAGCTTTTTATCTCGCTTCAGGTATTTATCATGGCATATTATTGTATTACAAAAATGTTATTAAAATAGACTCAGAGCGAGGCGAAGCGTGGCAATTTTTTTTAATAATAGCTTAAATAACATAAAAGTAGTTATATCGTTTAGTGCCAATTTAATGGTATACATACTTCTCGTTGTTGAAGACTGCAAAAGACTTGCTGTTTGGCCTCCGGGAAATGTGGCATTGCGCTTGTGTCGTCCCTGGAACAAGTGTAATATTATAGAAAAAAATAATTATACTTTTGAATAGAAAAACTAAAATTTATTAAATAATAGAAAAAAACTAAGTAAGTTTCTTTAATTAGCCACTAAGCGTTTTGAAGAACCTATTGTTTTTTTTATAGTTATAATTAGTTAAATTAACGCCAAAGCCCAAATCTAATATATTTAAATGGGCAATTCTTGTATATTTATTTATTAATTATACCGGCCTTCTCGGAAACGGCTCTAACGATTTCAATGAATTTTGGTATGCGGGGCTTTTCGGGGGCGAAAAATCGATCTAGATTGATCTTTTGTCTGGGAAAACGCGAGTTTTTGAGTTTTCACGCGGTTTTCTTTCGCATTTTCACACATTGCACATTATTAAAATTTTTAGTTTTTTTTATCTAAAAAATACGATATAACAAAAAAGTACTCCAAACGAAGCTCAGTCGCCCAGGTACTAATAAATTAATACAGAAAACGTCACAGCACTAAGAAACTTTCCAACAAATTAAGTACAATCCTGATAGTTGGCGTTTCGAAACGTCACAGTTTTTTACCAGACCGGAACACGGCCTATAAAATCGTACACGCAGGGTTTGAATACGCAACGTCTGATGAAAGCAGTGCCGACCAAAAGTGGTATACAGCAGCACCACGGCTGCCTTCATGTTTATATTACGATTATATATTATTTAAATGGACATCACTACGCAGTTTTGCAAGTTTATTCAATTAAATATCTCGACAACAATCTACTGTTGGTAATTAGCTTCCAATCCAACATCCGAGTTTGGCTTTACAGGACCAGACGAGAAAACGGAGTTAGAAACAGATAATTGCTTGAAAGTGCATAACTGCGATTTACAAGTTTGTATATTTGTACATAGATAGTTTCAGCCAATTTACCAACTTAAACTGACGCTACGTCATTTTATTACATTCGAAGTCGATTTTAGATATCTTTAACTAGAAGTGGATTTGATAATTATCTTTTTTATAATTGCCTTTTAGAGTTTAAGATACTAATAGATTTTTTTATCGTTGGTTGTACAGTTAAAGTTTTAAATACAAATGTATTTCTGAAAGAAAAAATAAGGAAAATGACTCTTCTTTAAAGAAAATAACCAAGAGATACAATAAATGTACATAAATCAGATTTTTTAAAGGACGATCCCTATATTAAAATAAAAAAAAAAAATGATTAGATCACATTTCCTTGTAACAAAAAATCGTATTTCGTCGCGCAAATTTCCGACATGACTCATACGATATCGATTGAGGATGGAATTAATTAAATATAAAACAATTTGAGCGGTGCTAGGCGCCATCCCGTTAGCGTATAGGTCGCTGAACTGATAACTTTTTGATGGTTATTACATGTTTTTGTTTATGCTGTGTGAATCAATGCATATTATGAGTATAATTTGATATAATAATGCGTTGTTTATTAATTATTAACGTTCTTGAAATTGTTCCAGTGTGTGACGCGGTTAAATCCAAGATTTGTTATTTCTGCGATGTTCTACAGTGTTTTTAATATAGATAAAAAAGTGTGTAAGATTTATTTTATCACAAGAGCTAAAAGTTACGCGGATTTATTATCAGATCGACTCTCGATAGTGTCAAATTATTCTTGTCCAGATTTCACATACTTAGAAAATTTCTATCAATACAATAATTAAAAAGAATGATAGATTTGACGACATAGCCATAATTGAAGCTAATTAAAGCGTGTTAAATACACAATACTAATATTGTAAATGCATGTATATGAGTGAAGAAGTAACTAACGAATCCTGACTGCTTCGACGACAAGTTTGGCTTAATTTGTAGTGACCCTACTTGCTGTGCCTGCGGTCGCGGGTTCGAGTCACGGGCATTCATTTGAGTGATAAGCACGAATGTTTGTACTCCAGTCATGGGTGTTTATATTTATAATATGTATGTATTTAAAAGTTATATATGTGTAGTGTATCAACTATCTGGCATCCATAACACAAATCTTGTAGCTTACCATGGAACTAAATGGTGCTGTGTGTTAATATCTCAACATATTTATTTCATTTTATTCTTTTCCTAAAGTAATTTTATCACTCATTATCATCATCTTAAATCAAAACACTTGCAGGTCTAACAAATCTTCACACAAATATTTACTATAAAAAACAGTTCCTCAGCAGCCATTAAATGAAATCCGATCAGCATATCAACAGCAGACACTAATTACTGACTAACATAGAAATTGGTTGTCTCCATCATAAGGCTAATTGAGCTAGTTCCCGCGCTGCACTTCCTCGCCTCGTAAGGCACCAGTATGCGAGATGCTTCCTTATGCTTACAAAAAGCCAACTAAACACTTACAAAGTGATTAATACTTTGCAAATTGAATTTTTCCTTACATCTTAAGATCTAGACAGTAATAGTTGGCTTTGACTAATTAACGTTTTAAATAGTATCAATATTGTTGAATGTTAATTTTTAAATTGATATTGCAAAAGATTATGAAAATAGTAACAGAACCAGCGGCTTTACTCGCGCTAAAATTACAAATAAAATCTCTAAAATGGTTGGTTTCATACTAACTTTCATCCCCTATTTTACCCTCTTATATATATATAACTCATTATTTTCGCCGTACTCAATTTATACGAAATTTCATGCAAATATGTAACAATGAATAAAAAGTTTCTTACAAGCTTTTGTCACCTAATTCACCCCCTTGGGGGTTGAATTTTGAAAAGTGGATGCCTTCGTCATATACCTAAGGAATATGTGTGTGAAATTTCAATTTTCTAGCCTTAAGGGTTTGGCCTGTGCGTTGATACATCAGTCAATCATTTTTGCCTTTTATATAAGTATATAGATTGATATAATATAATAAGTATACTGTGGGTATACTTAAAAAAATACCGTGGAAACTTGACTGAATTCAGCTCATATTACATGTACATATTCTTAATACAAATTATAAAATTGATTGCAGAAAAACTCGAGGATTCATTTTTTCTTGCAAATTACCTCACGTTATAAAACTTCTGTCATTCTAATTAAAGTGGTCAAATGATAAGTAACTGTAAAGTCAGTGTGCATGTTGATATTCATCTTCTTTAATTAAAGGATTTGTGTTTTAATGCAGGAACCAGATATATTTAATCTATATTAATATTAATTATAAATGTGAAAGTTTGTGAGTATGGATGTATGGATGTTTGTTACTCCTTCACGCCAACGGCTGAACAGATCTGGATGAAATTTGGCACAGAGAAAGATTATAGTTTGGAATAACACATAGGCTACTTTTTATCTCATAAAAATATATAGTTCTCGTGGGATAGGTTTGTTTTTGTTTTCCTACTGTAATATTTTTATGAGTTTTGTCCATCTATTAGTTAATAAATGTCAATCACTAATTAATATTCAGGATGATATTTTTTTTTATTTTTTTTTCCTCGTGGTATCAATGTTCTAGCAAAGAATGAACAGGCAATAAGTCATTCTGCTGAATAATACGCATCACATAATAAATCTATTCATATAAAAAAAATCTAATTGAATTGAATTTGTACTACTAACTATAGGGACTACTTGAATCTATAGTTTTTAAAAATTTTGTCCGTCTGTCTGTCTGTGACCGCATCACGAGAAAACCACTGGACAGATTTTGATGAAATTTGGTATGATGATAGCTGGTTCTCCAATCTCCAGGTAGACATATAGAATACTTATTACAGCGGGGAAATATATCTTTTCTGAGTTTGTACTAACCGTAAAAACGTACCTAGGGGCGAACCCGTGCGAAGCGAGGGTGAGTCGCTAGTTAATACATAAAAATAGAGACATTTACTTAAGTTAAGTTTCTAAGACAAATATGTCTTGGACGTAGTTTGGTCTTAACTCAAGAAATATCTTTAAAGCCAGTGTTAGACCGTCAAGATATAAACTATATACGCTCAGACTAGCACATTGTTGTATTAAGAATAATATAAATGGTCTGGTAGACATGCTAGATCATCACTGTGGTAGATGGTCTTTTATAACAAAAATATTGCTTTGTTGAAATCAACTCATGCAAGTATAGTCGCAGGTAAAACTAATATTATAATTATGTCTGAATCATTCTTATCGGAAATTTACTGCAGTCCATTTATTAAGTCCAGTCAGCATTGACGTCATCATACGCGCAAAAAATTTTTTTTCTGCCTTTACGCTTCTTTCGTTGTAGTTCTCATAAGTATAGAAAAAGAATTATAGGTAATTCAATTTATTTCACACTTTCTGCCAGAATCAAGGTACTTACAGTACGATACGTATCGGATATATATATATATATATATATATATATATATATATATATATATATATATATATTATAGCTACGACTACTTATTACGTAACTATTATAAGTAATATTACCATTATCAAAAAATAATTCATTACGTAGTATGAGGAACACTAATATAAAGAAATAAATACACGAACGTGTTTTGACCAAAATAAAAACGAGAAGTCTATTCTAATAAGCTGTCAAGCGCAAAAATGAAATTCTTGAACTCAAAGTGACTCTGAAGTATAAAGTTGATGTCTAAAAATGATTTAATATTTAACTACGGTAGATGGGCATATTATTTAGATACGAAACAACAAATAAATTCAGCCATATCGTAACTGAGGAGGTTTTACTTATTGTCAATCTGATAATTTACAATACATATTAAAAATCTCGCTCAAAGAGGCTTTCTGATTCATTTACGTCCAGATAAAACCACAAACTAATGGACTGAAATTTTGACAGGCTGTACCTAAAACGACGTGTAACATAATATATAATAACGTGTAACTATTATTTTTTTTAGCAATTTTACCCCCAAAAGAGAATAAGGTGACAAAGTTTTTTTAAATATAAGTATATTTTTTTCTTAATGTATTTCTTGATATTGATAATAATTCTTATTGACAAAAGAATTGTTATTCAGTCTTTTAAATCCTTAGGAGCAAAGTTTTTAGAGGAATTATTTAAAAAAAAACCTGTGTGTGTAGGTACTTATGTACTAATTTAAGAAGTTATACCTACTTCTTTAGCGTAAGAGAACAAAAACAGCTACAGATTTCATCCCGTGTGTCACAACTCTCTGTTAGCTTCAAAAAATATGTCAAACTAGCGGCTCACCCTCGCTTTGCTCGGGTTCGTTCCGTTTCGTTCTAAATAGATATAAATAGTTATTAGCCAGCGTTAGCCATATAAATTTATTATTTTTTTTCGTTAATTTTTCATTTTTTCTCTTTATTAAAACCTTCCGTGGACCTTAAGGAACATACGAAAAAAAATTGCCTAGTTGGTCCAGGCATTCATGAGTTATGCGCTTACCAACATTCATTTTTATTTATATAGATTATAAAATAGCGAGGGACCATCTTGTAAATAGCAACAATAAAGTAAATTAAAATTCCAGCCTCGTCTATGATTCAACAAGTAACTCGATCCAGTACTAATTATGGAGTGTTGGTGAAACTGTGCCGCAGACCGAATTCGCTGGAACCAATCGACTTGCCCCAATTGAAAAATTGCTTTCACGTTGGTCCTGTTAGCTTAATTTGTTTCGTGGCGGTGATCGAAAGCTTGATATTGATCGATGTTAATCATATTTCATAAATAACAATTTTCAAATTGGATAAATGATATCTAGACAGACAAATATGAGAAGAGCAAATAAACTTTAACAATACGGAAATTAATCTTGATCTAAGATCTTAATATTTTACTTGTAAAATTATAGGTTCTTAAAGGTTCTTAAAATATCGTTACTTTAAATAAAATAATCTATACAGATAAATAAAATTGAAGTGTCTGTATGTAATGTCAAAATAACAGCTTTTTACTAAATACATATGAAAATATATACGGTACTTACAAAAATCACACATTTATAAAAAAAATTGCATGTGTTTGTCTGTTTGTTCCGACTAATCTTTGAAACGGCTGGACTGATTTTGAGGGGACTTTTACTGGCAGATAGCAGGTGTTAAAAGGAGTAAATAAGGCTCCTTTTATTTTAGAAAAAGTAATAGGGGTTCGCTCAAAAAAAATTTAAACGTACAGGGTCGCACCCGAGCGAAGCGAGTGTAAGTCTTTAGTAACTAAATACATAAATACATTTTTCCATCAAAATTTTAACATATAATATGAGTTGACAGCGGCCTACCTAGCATATTAGTTTACATCTTCAAACTTAGATAATTAATCAATTAGTATATCAAGATTGTGGTTCGAATTGATGACAAAGGGTAAAAAACAAGAAGCCAGAAAACTCATGAGATGCCGCCGTGGATCGATTTCAAAAAGGTATGAAATCTCAGAAGTATCTATATCGATGGACGCTATAAGTAAATTGGTTAAAAATTGTATTTTAGAAATTGCAGTATTTTAGATCTTTTTGATAATAATATTTGAATGATATGGGAACTAAATTAGAACTAAGTTATATTAATGAAATTTCAGAATTCTTTTCAATCCATTCATATTATACTAAACATTATAACTTCAAATAAAACTATACTTAATTTTTTGGCATTCTCGTTTTTTATTGCACTTTGACCAAAAATAGTAAAGTACTGACGACATGTAACTACGCCAAATTAAAAAGATTGCGACTTGTCAGTTATTCTATTTAGGCTGGATGGATGTCGAAATAAATAAATAAATAAATAAATAAATAAATAAATAAATAAATAAATAAATAAAAGTAGGTGCACAGATAGATGAAATGTAGTGACACATGGACTTCTGTTGGTAGCCTATATAGATAATGAAACGAGGTGACGCTATCTGTACATAAAATCATAAATAAGGCACCTAGGGTTGGTAAAGTAAAAAAAAAAAATAGTTTCCGATTACAGAAACAAATAAACATGCTTAGTGGAAAATCTTCGTAGTTATATTACACTAAGACGTCACACGAGATCAGGGTTGATGATGGATATGATAGGATTGCACAGCGTTTGTTCTTGAGTGTTAATCTAGTTATCGTGTTACTTGTGAATTGAAAGCCAAGGACGCGTACCGGTTTCGATTCATGCAAATCGTCACGCTCCTGCTCCCTTTGTACAGGATAGTCGTGTTTTGTTTCAACTGCATTTGTTATACTAATAATATATGTATGGATGAAGTGTTTTTATTTGCACTGCGGTCGTGGCTTCCTGTACTTTGTATGAAACTGTTAATATTTTGTATCTATTAACTTTTCAATTTTGAGAGGCAAATTGTTTTAGGAAGATAATTCACTGTTGGTAAATTATTTTCCCAAAACCTTTTGCCTTTTTTTCTACTTGATTTTGATGACAAATTAAAAGATTTTTTATGTAATTAATAAGATTTAATTTTATTCCTAGTCCAACCTTAGAAAGCGTAAATATTTTAACAAGGTGAATCAAGCGCGATAGCCGATAACTCAAAAGCAATCGAGATACAATTTCTGATTCTGATTTAAACTGTCAATGGCTGAATCATCTCAAGCCTGTGCCAGATTTCCCTTCAGCTATTTCCGGCTGCTCCTAAAGTCAATACCAAATTAATAGGAGCGGTGCGACACAATCTGCCACTTGCTATCAATTTTGTTAGTAACAAGGTAAATAGGTGTGGCTGTTAGGAAACTAAAAAGGGATTTTCTATTTAGAAAATCACAAAGCTGTTTTACCCGACTGTAAGTTTTATAAAAAGTTCTAAGTAAAATTAGCTTACACTGCCGCATTTAAATGCTTTGCAATATGTTAGTAAATATCTAATTTGAAAATTAAATCTATACATATAATAAAATTGTAACTAAGCTGTATCTGTATACTGTTAAGTGTACTACTATATAAAACCTAAGAATTTGGTTTTTGGTCATCTGAACGCGGGCGAAGCCGCGGGCAATGCTATAATTTAATTGTTTCATCAACAAGCTTTTAGCTGTTGAGTACTTACGCAGTAACTAATTAATGTGAGTATCTACGCACGTTATAAGGATGTAAGTAATTAGAACTGTCGCTTTGAATCGCGATTCATGTCAAGTATCAAATAATGATCCGGCATCTATTAAATCGCATTTCTCTTGCGCAGGTGTACAATAAACTAAACAGGCTCTCCAAGAATCCTTGCTTCAAATGCTTATCAACGATTTAATGCCGAGGATATTTACCAAGATTGTTTTTATCATTTCCTTAAAGTTAAATCTGCCGCTATTAAATCTCATACTTATTGACTCGGACCTGTTATGGCAATTTATTGATGGTCTGAAAGTAACCGTATGCTCTCAATTTGGAATTGGTTGAAAATGATGGATTATTATATAACTATCTTATTTTCTATGCGTATATATTTTATAAAAAGTTGAAGATAATACATTGACAAACGAACTAGACCATAAAAGACACCCATCCTGCCCTCCTGCCCCTCCCAGAAAAATATATAATTTAAAGCAATAAAAAATAGATGTTAAACAAACTATCAATCAAAAATATTAAGTCTATGAAAAAAACAAACATCTAATACCTTACTCCTCGGGTAAACACTCAGCACGTCCGCCCACCACCTCGCCTCCTCTCTGCAGGTGCCCTTGACGAAGGTGACACGGTCCGGCGCCGTTATAGCTAAGCTGTGAGCGTGTCCTGTCACACCGTCGGCGTCGCTCACTTCGAGTACTGTCGTCATATCCACGCTGGCTTGCGGGACTGTATCAGGCTGTGGGCAAAATACAATATAAATTGTAGTCAGTTTAGTTAGTTTCTAATAGCTAAGTTATTCTATAGAAATATTACGTATTAAAACAGTATTATCTATACTAATATTATAAAACTGAAGAGTTTGTTCGTTTGTTTGCTTGAACGCGCTAATATCAGGAACTACTAATACTAATGTGATTTGAAAAATTCTTTTTGCATTAGATAGCCCGCTAACTGAGGAAGGCTATAGGCTATATAGCATCCCGGAAAAATGTATGGGATAGACTTTGTCTAGGGACGAACCCGAAGCGAAGCGAGGGTGAGTCGCTAATCTTACACATACTCGTAAATATGTGTAGTTATAATTTCGAAATATAAGAAAATTTTCGCATTTGCAAATTTCAATTTTGACAGCACGTTCTTAAATTACGATCTAAAATTCTTTTCATATTACATATATTGTCTACAAAATCGTGAACAATTTAATTACACTTTAATGCTAATTCAACATATCAAATGACCTAGGAAATGTAGTTATCGCTCGTGCAATGTAATCAAGTTTTCTTCAGGGAGATCGTAGTTAACGGAATTACGGCGCTAGTATCGGCTGCACAGTCAGCCGCGGCAGGGGGCAACCTAGACGCATATTTAGCAAATTTCTCAAGCTACGCAAAGGCGTTACCTATATACATTATTTAATGTCTAATATTAAGTTGTACGTACTCACAGATACAGTTTCCTTGAGCTATGTTTTACTGTGATTATATCTAGAATTTTAAAAACATAATGTAGATAGGATGTTTTTTTTTTCTTTAATGGCTTATAGTTGCGTTAACAGACGCAATCCATTCTGCCAGTGACACGTTTTGTGAGGAAGACACGAATGAGATTGAGCGGTAATTTTGAAATTTGGTAACTTTAATGTGTAATTAAAACTATAAATTATTGATCTGTCTACAGGAGTAACCTACAACAATAGTAAAATAATAACGTAATACAATACAGATAAGATGTTATTGTCTTCACCAAATTAAATCAATATGAACTAATTATGACGTGGGCATGTTTGTCAAAACTTGACAAATCCTTGCCATTTTTTTAAAGGTACCTTTTCATAAAGTTTATGGGCGGGATGGATATATGTTAATACCTCGTGGATGATTACGAGTATAATTCCGACAAATGATAAAAAAAAACATATTTTTGCTGTAATTCTATAGCATTACTATATCCAAGACACAATCTACAGGTGTTGATTTATCAGGTTTGCAACATAGTATAGACGAGATCTTAGTTCTAGCAAGTGACAAACAACTTGCATCCTGTACTACTTCAACGTCGCGCTTAAAAGGCGAATACACTCCATCAAAACCACTTGCCTCAGCATTAATAGTGCATCCAATGTACATAATTAGTACCCGACTCATTAAGCATATTAGAACAGTTTATCTACATTTATATGAATCTATTTCCTCACGGATGGTGAGAAGTAAATGAACCATTTAAAAAATTATCCTTGGCATCCGTAATTGTTGAGTTTAAATGCTTAATTTATCAGACAATTTTCAAGGCATTCAAAGGTCGCAATTATTTCGAAGTGCATTCTGCGGAATATTACTATGTAGTTGGTCCTATTGAAAATATGTCTGTTCATTCTGTATTATACACTAGGAGTAGCAGAGTATATTAAATGATATACTTTCAAAATCAACAAATATTATAAGGTACTTGGTGCCATTTTTTAATTCAGAAATCATTTTTGTAAAATAGTGGGTAGGCACAATTCGAAACGTCGGGAACTAAAAATCAAAATAAATCCGCGAAATAATCCGAAAAGATAGTTTTATTTTTAAATATTAAATGTTAGGAGTATTTATAAATAATATATTTTTACATACTAGAGTAAATTTATTAAGAAAAAAAGTTTAGATTATTAATATATTTTTTAAATATTATACTGTAAAATATTTCATATAAAAATAACAATTATTTAAAGCAAAAATGCACACTAACACTTAGGAATTAAATTTTTTCATGTTTTTATAGCACCATTGAGATTTTTCATTAAAAAAACGCTACTATTGGCCTAGTGTTTAAAATTCGAACGACATCATTATTATAAAAAAAAAATCTTTTTCCATTTTTTTTATGATAGCACCAAAGCTCGCTACAGTAGCTACTAAATAAAAAAAATTGGTTGACAAATAGAGGCGAAAAAGACACTGACCGTCTTTGCCTATTTGTGTATATGTAGATGACAATCGGTTCTCAATTGGAAATTCATATACAGCATGCGTAAAAGTCTATTAGTAATTCCTGCCTCCACCTTACGAGTTGGGTCAGAAAGCAATACTTTACGAATATATATACAATTATACATTGTAATTTGTATCTTTACAGTTATGTAGATAGATTCAATAAAATTATGAATGAGATTTATTACAATTTCTAGGACCATCTGTTTTATTGCAGTAAATAATCGCCCGCCCGCGCTACAGTGGTACTAATCTATAGGACCCTGGCCTGAACTTGACCTGCGTCGGAGAGGAGGTTAATCGTTTCAGTGCATAACAAAACACTACTATGACGGTATAAGGAAAAATACAAACTTATTGGAAAATATAATACGTGAATACGATCATTACCTATCACCTTTACTAAATATATATATATATATTATATATATATATATATATATATATATATATATATATATATATAATAAAATTGTAACTAAGCCGAATCTATACATTAAATATTTTTTGGAAAATCTTATTGAAATAAACATTATTATCGATACAGAGGCCGAATCTATAGTTTTTAGAATTTTTGCCTGTCTGTCTGTCTGTGTCTGTCTGTCTGTCTGTCTGTTACCGCATTACAAAAAAACCACTCGAGGGATTTTAATGTTTGGTATGGTGATAGCTGGTTATCCGGTGATATGGGATACTTTTTGCCGCGGGAAAATATCTCATTTCTGAAAAAAATACAAAAACTGCAATAAAAGATAGGTATACTAATAAGTAAAACATAAGAGTTTGGTTTTTGGCCATCTGAACGCGAGCGGAGTTGCGAGCAATGTTAGTATTTAATAAATTTACTTATTCCGTCAATAAATTCCCGAAACAAATAACAATTAATTTCTTAGAAATTTAATTAATTTCTTAGAAATTTACCTGGAGGAGTTATAAAAAAAACTATTTTTACTAAGACTATGAGTACATTATACGACTCATCAAACTCTTTGTAACTAACGTCCTTTTCATTGAAAAACATTCTAGAAAATTATTGGTATCAATTATCTATTATAATTATTTATATCGTTCGAATGTTACATAAACACGGTGTTGTTTGACCTAAGAGACCATAACTGTTATTAGCAAGTGGACACAATCTAACTAATCATAACACTAATTAAGTTTACACACTGATGTGTCAATAGGTTGCATTATTTACTTAATGGACGCTTGCGCTCGTCACCCCATCCATCACACCAGATAGGGATACTGTCAAAGTGTCAAAATAATATTTAATATCGCAAACAATAATCTGGAATAAAACAACTTCGGTGAAAGCAAAACAGAGAACGATGTGTAGTACCGAAAAAGTGAAAATAAATTTTACGTAAACGCGTTAACGATACGACCAATTAAAATTGACGATCGAAACATGGAAGCGGTCAAGCTTCAATAAGCGTATATCAAAGTTTATTAATCACGCCCAACGATACGTAAATAGTTGTTGATTTATTATTACTTTCCCAATGTCCTGAAATGGTCTAATTTGACATCAGATGGCGAGTTGTTGCGTAATGATGTAAAATCGGATCGTGAGTGTACGATTGAGAGCTTTCACCAATTTTCCAATGCGTGGATACTTCGTGCTGGTTCAGGTTTGTAGCGTTGAAGCCAGAAATGAACGTTCTACCTATAGGAGATTTCCTGTTGTCATCACGTCAGCCCTAGCATTGTGAAGGTAGCGATTAAAGATTATGCAATTGTTTCCATGAGATGGTCCAACAGCCATAATTTCCGTCGTAGCGGGTCAGAGCCATTCAAATAGACCATGAATGGGCGGAACTCCAATCTGCGTAGCTGTTGATATTTTAAAACACATTAATGCTTATATTTAAAGCAAACTCTGTGTGAGATCGATTTATAGTATTTTTATTGTATTTTATAATTATCTGTTTTGTTTTGATGGTCGATTTGTTGCATCTTTATTGCAATATGATTTTGTTATTATTAGTGTTCGCTCAGTGGTCGAAGTTTGGCCATAGTCATTATTGAAAATTTGAGGAAAACATATACATATGAATAGAATTTATCTATAAAAAAAAACTGTTTTCAAAAAGCTCTTAAACTACATAAAAAACAAAATTATACAATGATTCATGAAAAACAATGCGCGTAAGTGTACTTACGAGTATGTACGAACGTAAGAAGTTATACATCTTTGGCGTAACAGAACAAAAATGGCTAAAGATTTCATCCCGTATATCAAAACTCTCTTTTTGTAAAAGGAATGCAGCTAACTTCGTCATGTCACTTTTTGGCTGTCGGTGTGCGCGCGCATCGTAAAAATTTTACTCTCATATTTTTATCCAAACGTGCCAAAATAAAATACAATTTTTTTTCTGTCAAATATTCGCGTAAATCTAAGAAATAACTTTTTAGTGCAAATTCCTTTGACGGTGCAGTTTTAAGTTGATTAGTCATTACTTTATAATTTGTCTCCCTTGAAAGGCAGTTTGCAATCGACTTGAGTTTGTGATTGACCAAATCTGGATCTTAAATTTATTAGAAGTCATTGTTTAGGATTAATAGTATTAAACAAATCCTAAAGGAGACCATGATCGACAAATGAATAAGTACCTTCACCCAACGGCGTCTATACTAATCAATAATTAAGTATAGGACAAGAGACAACGTAAAATGTATGTCTATATAGGTATAAATAGGCAAAGACTAGATAGTTCAGTACCTTTTTCTTCTTTGTAAAATTTTTTTTTTATAGCTGGGAAAAATGTTGATTTTTTTATATAGATATAAATTATTTTTACATAATGTAATAATATTTATAGCTTTACAATAATGTATGGAAATCTGCCCGATTTGTTGACATTTATGATTACTGCTCCGATCCCTTGAGTAGTAGCATGATGATATATAGCCTATAGTCTTCCTTAATAAAAGGGCTATCTAATGCAAAAAGAATGTTTCAAATCGGATTAGTAGTTCCTTAGATTAACGAACAAGCAAACAAACAAATAAATTCTGCCTTTTATTAATATTAGTATATAGATGTTTTCCTTAAACTATTCAGAATGATTATAGTCGTTTTCGACCACAGGACTAACACTAGTTAATTTAATATAGCTGCACAGCACAAGATACTTACTAAAAGTATTCATTTATTTAAAGCAATGCTGTATATCACTGGACCAAATCTATATAAAAAAAACTTATCTTATATAAGGAAAAAAAAAACAAATTGTACCCATACCAATGGTATGCCAAGTGCCGAAATATCGGGAATCTATACTTATTATAAAAATAAGTCCCCCGGCCGCGTCTTTCTGTCCTCCTGTCTGTCCTCCTGTCTGTCTGTACGCGATAAACTCGAAAACTACTGAACGGATTTTTATACGGTTTTCAACAATAGAAAGAGTAATTCTTGAGGAAGGTTTAGGTATATAATTTATTATGCTTTTATGTAAATTAGCTGAAATACGGCGACAAATGTTGAAGAGGTCGCAAAAAATCTCGCCAAATGGGAACTTTCCACGCGAACGCCGCGTAAACTAGCAAAGATACAGTTAAGTAATGTACTAGAGAATTCAAAATCTATAAAAATGCTACAAAAAAGTCCGCGATAGCATATCTCTATCTCTTACGGTTGACTTACAATAACCACTTTTATGTTAACATTTTTAATTAAAAACATTACGTTATTTTCAAAGTTATTTTCTTTAGTTCGGTATTAATCCTTATCCAAATGAATATTTTAGTTAGCTTAGTCATTTAATGCAGATTAAAATTGCTCTTTACACTACACATCAATCAGATGAATAGTTTTTGAGATATCGTTGTTAGAAGTAATTAGTAGCGAAACATTTTTAATGCTTGGCGAGCATTGAGATGCCTACGGCGAGTCCATCCCCTCTGCCCCGCATCGCTCGACCGCCTGCTCAAGCTATATAAACCGGGCGATGTAGCGCGCGATCCTAGGATACTTTTTACCGCGGGAAAATATCTTATTTCTGAGGAAAAATACAAAAACTGCAATGTAAGAGTATACTAATATGTAACACCTAAGAATTTAGTTTTTGGTCATCTGAACGCGGGCGGAGCCGCGGGCAATGCTAGTAAATAATAAAAAAGAAAGTGGTACTCGTATATTATAACGTTTCAGATCATAAAAATAA